TAAAAATCAACCATTATCAGAAAATAAAAAAATTAATTTAAAGAGTTTGAAGGCAGTTGTTATTAGTGAAGGATGTTATAGTAATTATACTTGTAAATGCCAAGACACATTCCAACCCTTCTTCTTCTTCTTCTTCCTCCTCCCACCCTCTCCCCATTTTTCTTCTTCTTCTTTCTCACACTAATCTTCGGTTATTGAGTAAACATGGCTGCGGTGCCTGTTCCGAGAACAAGTGCGCTAATGATCCTTAATGGTGCCACTCCGACAGCCTTTCCATCTTCGTCACCGCCACCAATTTTCACTCCCCCAACTATGCTCTGCCAACGACAATGGCGGCTGGTGCAACCCGCGTCGCCCCACTTCGATCTCGCCATGCCAATGTTCCTCATTATCCCTGACTAATCGCACTGGAATCGTCCCTGATTCTTACCAAGGTTAGTGGGAGGAGGAAAAAGAAGAGGAAGAAGAAGAAGAAGAAGAAAAGGACAAGAACAAGAAGAAAAAGACAGTTTCTTTGTCTTCTTTTTCTGTACCAGTAGGCAGTAATCGCTTTCCCTTATTATCCAATCAGAACTTCAGCAACCCTCTGAGCAGCAGAGAATCCGTGCTGGAATCGTCCCTGCTTCTTACCAAGGTTAGTGGGAGGAGGAAAAAGAAGAGGAAGAAGAAGAAGAAGAAAAGAACAAGAACAAGAACAAGAACAAGAAGAAAAAGACAGTCTCTTTGTCTTCTTTTTCTGTACCAGTAGGCAGTAATCGCTTTCCCTTATTATCCAATCAGAACTTCAGCAAACCTCTGAGCCGCAGAGAATCCGTGAATCAAGTTCTAGCAAAGATTCCAACTGGGTTTTTCTTAAAGCCCCCATTCATGGAAGCCTCGTCTCCCATCTTTGCTCAACAGAAAACCCGCCTGCAAGACCTCACCGAAGCATAACAAGAAGAACTTCGTCACTACTTTAATGGTGTCCGCCACTCTTCGCTCTACTGCCTTCAAGGAAGACACCTACTTCGTCTTTCACCTAAACTCCTCGGAGAAGAAAGCGCTGCAAGAGCTTTTCCTTTTTTTAATCAAGATTTAGGAATTTGATTGGTTCTTTTTTTAATTTGTTTACCGATTTCAACCGGTTCATATATAAATTTTTTAATATCATTGTAATATTTTAATAAAGATAGTTATTTTTTGCTCTAATATTTTATTGGATGATTTGTATAATAATTTATTAATATTTAAATTTAAATATATTTAAATAATAGTATAGTAATATATAATAATAACAGTTATTTTATTTGAATTTACAGTATTTGTATATTTAATTAAATTGTTTATTTTATTTTTTTTTATTGTATACAATAATTAAATAAAAAATTAAAAAATATATGTAATATTAAATATAAACATATAATTAAATATATACATATATAATATATTATATAATTAAAGAGATGTATATATATATAAACAAGTAAATATATTATTGTATCGGCCCGTTCTTTTTTTATTTCTAATGGCGTAGTTTATAACAAATTCATGATCAAATATGAAAATTTCGTTTCAAATCAATCATGCACATAGAAACATTATCACAATCTACTATTCAGAGTCAAGATAGACCGGTAATCATATATGTACATCACGTGAAATACAACCGTATACACTATCAACAGACATACTATCTACTTTACAACCAATTTTTACACATTCAATTCTATCAATAAAGATCTTTATTCTGTTGCTCTATACGCTAGGCTTGAAAACCAGTAACTCCAATCCCGACTTTATTCATACATCATCTGTGAATAATAGAGGTTGAGTTCATATAACTCAGTACAGTAAAAATTAAGTTACAAATATGATATGCACAAATATGAAACCCAGTATTTCTATATGTACCATATCACCGAACTTAAGCCTACCTTGTTATCACTATGGGACTACGCAGGACTAAAACGTACCCCGATATCTTAAATATCATGCATACCATGTGTGACCGTCCCCAATGTCACCCCAAACGTATAAATATTCACACCCGTCATCAGTATCAGCGACCACCAATAAACCGGCTATCTCTTGACCCATAATAGGCCACACACATACACAGATACTATCCTTTATATTCACCAATATCAGCGACCAAATCCATTCCCGTCAGAGTCTCCCGACCATCACCACCATCGGCGATCAACTTA